GGGGGGGGGGAGAGACGGTACAGAAGAGAGTTTTCTTCAGTTTTAGCACTGCTTCCTATGCCGCTAGGAAGGGGAGGGGGGCGCGAAAGGCCCATCACCCCCTCCTCCCTCCCTCCCCTCCTTTTGGGTCTGTCTGTGTATGAGCTCAAAAGTGAGAAAGTCTGTGTCTGAGTATCCTTTCAATCCGTAGGTATTAGTTCTCAGCTTGCACAATTTTCCCTTAAATCATTGAATATTTTCAGCCGTTCAACCCCACTGGTGTTTTCTCAGTCCACAATAGCACTTATCGAAAAAGCGGTGCCTGGTTCTTCTTCAATTGACGAAAAAGTGAAAAGGCTCGTTGACGTGGTACATTCCTTTTCTTATTGTCATGAGTTTCATACATTTCATCCGTACACTATAAAGTATGATTTTCGTAGTCTACGACACACACACACACACAAACAAACATACACACATACACACACACGCGCATTTAGATACACATTTAATGTGCTAATTGCAATCGCAGTTTGATTGGCTCTAATTTATATTGTGGTCCTGAACAGCTGTGCATTCGGCAAGTTTTTCGATTAATTTAACCAGTATTCCAGCCTGTTGACCACTTCAGCGCTCATTTCTTCTTAAAGAGTCCCCAGCTCAGTGATTCTCTTGATAAAAGCACTTAGCAGGGCTTTGGCCTGTCGCAATCTTAAAAGTTTGCAGGTTGAGATAGTGTGCGTGCCCAACTTGTGTGTGCAGTGGAGTGTGCAAGTGTAGAAACAGCTATATATATATACATATATATAGTATAATATATAAAAAATGTGTGTATGTATACATTTCTAATCATATAAAGACATTAAGGTATACATCATAGAGGGAAGCAAGGGAAAAATAGTAAAAAAAGATGGCGAGGTTCTGGGGAACCGAAATTCCCCAGAACAAGGTGGTGTGGCAAAAACTGCGACTGTGGAAACCGGAGATGGGGAGGAATGTTTTTATACCCCACTGGTCACAGATCATTAAGATTGCGTAAGTCTTACGGGGGTAGGATGTCCAAGGATTGAACTGAGGACCAGGGATGTTGCATCGTAATGATACAAGGGTTGCTTATGCAATTTTTAACAAAAAGCCATAAGTCATTATGTGAAATATTCTGTGACAAGCCATTTTGATTGTCATTGGTGCTTGTTGAGCAACATCATCCGGTCCCGAACGTTACTTCTCCTAGACCACGTCGGCGAGGTAACTTACCGACTAAAAAAAGTTTGCTTTTTTTTATACTCAGTAATAGATGATGTAAAAACAAACACAAAAAAGAATTTTTTTTTTGTCCAGAACAAGAAGATGCGTCAACAGGTGGAAGAAGCGGAGCAGTCGCTGTATGCAAGAAGAACGGCTCGTGCTGATTACGCTAACAGTGCTCATAATGGTGTACTGAACGAAGACCTTCAGAGTATGTTTAGATTTGAATTTTTTTTTAAGTAATTTTTTTTAGATTGAGCTTTTTTTTGAATAATTATGGGTATATAACGGTAACCTGAAAAAAGCTTGGCTAGGAAATAGTTATCGTCTCGTGATGGCGTGCTTTGATTTAGGAGACGCCGCGAAGCAGTTGGCCGAAATCAAGTTCAAGCTGCAAGAAGCGGAACGTGAAAATACCAATTATCAGGGCGTTGTTAGTATTTTGCCTGTTTCTTGTCAAGTTTTGAAAATATCTATTTTTGCAGTTTTCACAGTTAAACTTTGAAAATACTTATTTTTGCAGTTTTTCCATGCATTTTCGGCTCATCTAAAATGTTCTAGCTTTTCACGCTTAATTTTTGGCGTTTGATGTGTTACGTCACCATTGGTCAGTACCCTGTCCATCTTGGCTTTTGTTTCGTTGTTTCCGCTGGGGTTTTTTTTTTTTTTTTTTTTTTGACCATACGGACAATTATAGGTTTTAAGGTATATCTTATTCGTTGCGCTCTCTGCATTTTTTATACGGTCATTCAGCCGTCCGGCTAGCCTTCCCTTACGGATTGTTTTTGAATTTAGGCACAGGCTTTGCCTTTGCGCAGGACCTTGTGTGGCAAAAAAATCGTATTAATCTCTGGTAATTTATGTTAACGCTACTGAATTAATGATGCAAACAACTTGTTACTTAACTTGGGCTCTCCACATGACCTTTCGACATGCCATACGGTATTGTGCCATATGAACAGCCTTACTATCTTTTCCATCTTAATTTATTATACTAACCCTACGCTAGTTTAAAATTTTCGGACTTTGGCCGTCCCACATTTTCCATGCTTCAGACTGCCCGCTTTCTTCAGAGATTTCGGTTCGGCCTACCAACGGACGCAAATTGTTTTAACAGTCTTATCCCACCCTTCGTTTTAACTTTCTGGTTGTTCCAAATTTTGATTTTTTTGGACCGTTCACTTCTTTTAAAGTTACGGTTCGGCCT